TGGTCACCGCCCCATCTCTACAGCAGCCCTGGCTGGGAGGAGGCCCCTGAGGCCCAGGCAGCGCCAGAGTCACCACTGACAGGGACGGTCCACTTCCCCTGGGCGTCCTCCACCGCAGACCCGGGTGGTCCCCTGAGCCCTTCCGGGGTCCCGGGGCCACGCTGTGGTCTGTGGGCTCAGGCCGCCCTCTGGCTTGGGGGCAGGCGGCTGCTCTGCACAGTGAGGCCGTGTCTGCTGGGCACTTGAGGGACACGCGGGCGGCTCTTCAGACCCGTGGCTCCAGGGAGTCGGTGCCAAGACGAGGCAAAGTGAGGGCTGGTGTCCGCAGAGGCCGGTTCGCCTCGCGAGCCTGGGACCTGGGCTCCACCCCAGCCCTGCAGGAAAGGGGCAGGGGCTCTGGAAACAGGTGGCGACGATGTCCAGCCCCTAGGGACCTCGCTCCAGCCTGAAGCTCTCTGCTCCGATCGGGGAGGCTGGCAGGGGCTGGGAGGGCACAGGGGTGCACCTGGCCCCTCAGAGGCTCCCCCGGGGCAGACCTTGGACACTTCACGTCCTCTGTCGCTGAGGAGGGACCAGGAGGGGGGACATGGCTGAGGTGGGGTGACCAGGGGACTAACTGGTCCCCAGGCTGCTCCCTGGCTGCTCTGTGGAGCCCTGGGCGGGTCCCCACTCCCCGTCAGCCCCAGGGCGGGGAGCGCAGCTCTCCATCATGGGTGCCCGTCCTGGCTGGGGCTGGCACAGGCTGGTTCTGTGCTGTGCCCTGCCATTCTGGGTTGGTGACTGCTCCGAGGCCTCAGCTCAGACCAGGTCCCCGTCCACATGGGACACCTCGCTTCCCTTCATGAGGTTTGGTATTTGAAAGTCACCTCCCAGCATGAGCCTCCCAGTCGAGGGACCAGCAGCCGGGCTCTCAGGAGCCTCTGGTCACCCAGGAGGCCCCGACAGACCACTGGGCCCTGGAGATGGCCCGGGACCCACATGGCTCACTGCACCCCACGTTCCTGCAGAGGAAGGCCACAGGGCCAGGGCTCTGCCCACGGTCACCGTGCTGCTGGGCCGCTCTGGGCTGGGACCCGTCCCTGGTGGCCCCCGTGGCCCTCACGTGCCCTCTGCTCCCTCCCTGCAGTCCAGCCGCCCCCGCCCAAGGACCCCCAGATCAGCAAGACCGGGGGCCATTTCCTGCTGACCTGGAGTGTGGCCCTCGGGGGTCCCCAGACACCCTGGCTGTCGCAGGGGGACCTGGAGTTCGAGGTGGTCTACAGGCGGCTTAGCGACTCCTGGGAGGTAGGTTGGGGTCAGCTCTGCCCGTGTGGGGGGCGCCAGGCTGGCCCTTCCTGCAGCGCCCTCTCTCCCTCAGGAGGCCAGCAGCCTCTACTCCAGGTCCTCCCCGGCCGTCCTGGGCGCAGAGCTCCT